ACTCAATGGTTGGAGCAGCTGAAATACCTCTTCATCTCTCCAAGCACTTATTACAGATGGTGGCAACTGACCAGGAGTGTTGGGATGGATCGATGCTCCCCTCCCCCAACACATCTAGTTTAAAGCTTTCTTGACCAGCCTGGCAAGTCTCCTACCAAAACAGCTCTTCCCCTTCGTTACACCAACTCCACCAACCTCCAGTGTATCTGGCCTCCCAAATTGAGTCCCATGTTCTAAATACCCAAACCCCTGACTATGGCACCACTCTTCTAACCATTAATATTAATAATAATACTGAGTAAATTCTACAGCCAGTATCACTTGTGCAAGCAGAAATAATAGATTTGCAATTCCATATAAATAGGATTAGGTAAACAAGTCCCTCAAACAGATTAGTTTATGTCTAAATTAATTGCATATAATTCATATTTTCAATAAAATAATCTAGGTCATAAATCAAGCGTCCGAGCAGAGTCATCAAAATGATCAATATTTCTCCTTTTGTGCTTCATTAATAGAGTTTTGATTTATGGGTTAAAAAAAAAAAAATCAGAAGGCAATTATATACAAGAGAAATTAAAATGTGCTTTTTCACTGCCCCCGAAGTAATTATCTAAGATATGCCATAGCCATATATTGCTGCATTGTTTTGAGGCCAACAGAAGCATTGTACTGCAGTTATGTAGGCTACAAAACATGTCTGAAAGCCTCGGGAAATCAGAGTGTTTACACAGCTGCTGTTACCCTATGTCTGAGTACTCCCTGCAAAAAGACTGTTCAAGGTTTGTTGTTACGTAATTGAAGAAAACCATTCCGCAGAACAATTTTGATCTTCTGATGGCCCCTTCTGATTGTCTGTATGGATGTAACTCTTTTTACTGATATTCAAAATTTGCCAGTTTCCATATTTTAGAATGCTAGTTCCAAAAGCTGATCTCTTTTCCTTGTGGCAGGATGATCCATTTTCTGCACTGGATATCCACCTCAGTGACCATCTCATGCAAGAAGGGATCCTGAAGATGCTGCGGGAAGACAAGCGGACCATCGTGTTGGTAACACATAAGCTGCAGTACTTACCCCATGCTGACTGGGTAAGGCAGTTCTTCCTGATTTTTCTGAGGAGGCAAGAATGTGGCACTAATATGTCTTGCTACAACCAAGGCTTTCACTTCATCTTTCCACCAAGCACTAGTTTAATGAGAAAAGACATAATAAAGATCTTTTGAAAATTAGCCAGTGAGTCTGGGTACCATAATTTTGCGATTCTCATCTTAGAACACCTGAATAAGATGGGTGTTCGTAGAGCTGATGCTTACTATTCTCATTGAAGCAGGCTGCATTTAAAATATATTGAATATCCAAACTATTAGTTATATTGGAAAATTTAGCTCTCTTTTTAATCCCAAAACAGTGAAGCATTTGAGTAACATATTTGCCACTGCTTGGGCTGTTACTAGGAATTTTCTGTGCTGTCACAGAAAAAAGTGTGTTTATGGGTATTGAGATGCATGGAAATATAAGGAATAAACTATTTCCTTGACATTACTAGTGTATCAAGAATGTCCTTACCCTTTGTATGTTGGCAAAATTGTAAGAAATGGGTAGTATTCAATTGTTTGTTAGGCTCCTTCTGTTATATCTTGTAGTTTGCAGAAAAAAAAAAAAGGTGTGATTTCTGTAGCAGTTTGCAACTGGAGTTATCAAAGATGAGGCAGATCATTTAGGATAAGGAGGTTGGTTTGTTTGGAATTTTTTGAGGGGGAAGGGGTTCATCGGTTCACACTGGCCTTGCATCTAGTTCTCCCACAGTTATCCAGCTGTAACATCTTAGGTCTTCTTGCGCATGTTGATTGATGACCACAGTTAATGCCTCCTAGCAGGACTTCTTTCTCATTTGCATCTTGTGCAGACTATAGCAGCAGTTAGTCTGTCTCAGGAAATAATCATATTTCAGCTGCTTCCTGTTCTTCATATTGGCTTGCTGTAAAGTTGCAGATAGACATTAATCTTGTTCTGATTGTGTTTTTGGTGGGCAGCATTTCTCTTTTATAGTGTCTGCTGTGACCTTGTCCCTCAGTTTTACACCTTTACAAATTGCTACCATTCTCAATGCAGTTCTCATTTTCCAGTTAATGTCTTTTGGGATACAGGAGTTTTCTGCCCCTCTTCTTCCCCTCCCTATGAGGTCCATCTTGGCTTCCTCTTCTTCAATGTTATAAGTTTCCTTTTTTAAAAATATGCACATCTATGGCCTTGTATCAATATAATCTTTTTTTATTTTCTTTATGAATGTCAGACCCATTTCTGGGTGTTTGTGTTTTATGAGATGTCTATGAGAATTATTTTCTTTTTATTACCTTCTAATTGGGTTTCAGTAATGTTCTATGAAACATACTGTTCCAAACAGCCTGTCGGACAAGAAGATTTGTATTAATTAAGTTTATAATTAAAAATATTTATTAAGAAATAATTCATTTTTTCCCCTATGCACAGCTCTTATTAAGCTTTAGCAAGTCTTACCCAATGGAGTGCAGCAGG